GGATGGCCAGCGGCGGGGTCAGGGATCTCCGCTCCGGGGCCCGATTCAGCCCCCGGGGATCCCCGGGTGACAACCCTTATTGGCTGGGGTTGATCGATGGTATGGCTGGTGCGTGTTATAAGAAGAGGGCATGGGGTCCACAATGGCATTATGAGTGGTCCGGGGTTCACCCTACGCGGCCGGTGGATGGTTTTGAAGGAGTAAAGGGTGGCCGAGAGTCATCACTGGTCGTTAGTGGAAATCTGACCAGAGTTTTATGCTAGAGTCAGACGCGGCATCCAGTAAACTGAATTTTGCACAAAAAAGCGCCTGATTCTAGCCAAAGACTGCCGCCAGATTGGTCCTCTAATGACCTTCCCGACGGAAGTTACGTGGCGTGTCTCCGAGAGCGGTGTAAGGAGTGGTTTGCACTGGTCAAAAGGAGACACAATGGAAAGAACCGGTGAAGGGATGAGATGGAAGGAAATATGAATGGCAGAGACCGATGCCGTCAGGTATCTGGCAGAGGACTTCCAGTGGTGCGACCTACCATCTTCACTGGAATAGAATGCACAGTCCTTATAGCTAGGTGTATTAGGGGCAACTTTTAGTCTAGACTGTGGCTTTCTATCTGTGTGACGATGGTGGAGGTGATTCCTGGGCCTTCCATGGGGTGGGACTTAATGATAGCTGCGAGTGGTTGGAGCGCCCAGGTGGGGCTGTGGGGTTACCAGTTTTGTGTTAATGTCTTTCCTGCCGCCATGCGACTGATGAGGGGGCCCAAAAGGGTGTGCTGAGGAGGCTGGACTCCGGGCTGGACTCCGCCTGTGCAGGGCACTGGAGCAGCATTGCCCTCTGCAGTATTGAAAGTACAGCTGGTAGGTGTCAGATCGTCAGCAAGGGTAAGAACCGCTAGAGAACGAAGGCTGTGGTCATGGCCTGATGATTCGGAGTTGGGAATGACCAGGGGGGAGGAGCAAATGTCCTCTGGGCCTGAGCAGGGTAACAGAGGCTTGTTTTTTGAAGGGTCAAGGAAGGAACGCGGGTCCGGGGGGGGTCATCAAAACCAGCTGGTCAGGGGTTCGACAGCCCAGTTGGCGTTAGAAAGCTAGTTTTGATTTCCCTCCGACTTGTGCAGCTTGAACTGAACTGTTTTTCTGCTGATTTAGACGGGTGGGGGTCCTGCCTTCTTGGGCAACGTATTGGACCATGTTTCTGGGGCCAGTGCAGGCTCTTGGCCAAGCAAAAAGACTCTGCTCTTGGAAAATGCAATAGGCGCGGCGTCAAGCAGCTGTGGGAATCGAGGGAGATGGGGCCGTCTCGAGACCCAGAAGGGGTGGCCAGATAGTGCACAAGGATGGGTGAACACTTGCGGCGGTTAAAGGTGTCTGCCTAAGCGCAGAAGTCTCAGGACGTGTGAAGGTGGTTCTTGCAAGCGTGCTCGGTTGGATGTGGAAGGGCACAAAGGGGTTCTTGGGGCACGGGGGGTACTTTGTGTAGAGCGGCCTGGGGGGAATGTACAGAGAAGAGAAGTGCACAAGGGTGGTGGCAGCGCACAGATTTGGGAGCGCTGTGCAGCGCTCGAGTAAGGGGGTCTGGCAGGCATCGAGAGGTGTGTGGTCAGTGCTTGAGCTTGTAACGATTGGATAGCGCTCTTGAAGCGGACAGGGATTTGGAGATCTGGGTGAAGACTAGCTATGCAGCAGCTGGAGATTCTTCCTGATTACGCGTGTGCTCCTAGCGCTCGCTTTGCAAGTACCCATGTGCGCACTGTCCCTCTCCTCGTGAGCTCCCATCTGAGCAGAGTACCGCTCGCACTTGCTCACCACTTTGCTCTTCACGAACGCTACTGCTTGCTCTTCCGAACACCCCAATCGTACTCTGTGTGCTCATGTAACGAGTGCTATGGCTTGCTGTTGCAAGCACGTCGATCACCCTCCGCACCTGCTTCACAAGTGCTACTGCTTGCTCTTCCTGAACACGCCGGTCGTACCCTGTACTCGCTTGACAAGCGCTGCGGCTTGCTCTTGCACTCGCTTCACTAGTGCTGCTGCTTGCTCTTGCTGAACACCTGATTGCATTTTGTGGTCACTTTGAGCACACTACTTGCTCTTTCTTTGGCTTTGAGCTCGGCTCTGTCAGACCTACGGTAGTCACTTTGTTCTCATTCTGCCCTGAAGTCGCATCAGATTTTATTTTATTCTCGAATCCTCCYCCCCCCCCCCCCTCCCCAATAAGTAGCAATTGCTGATTTATGCAATCAGACTCGCTCTCATTCACACTTCATATGCATGCAAACAGGTTGCGCAGCAAACTGGCGACAAGCGCCCAATCAGAACTCAGAGATATAGTAATCAAGAACGCAGTTCAGATACAAGTTCACTTCACATGGTTATGGCGGCACAGCGCCTGTACAACTCTCTGTTCACACACACACAGGATCACCCTGGATATCCCACACGCATCACACTGTATACACACACACACATACACTGTACACCCTCCTATCAGCTATGGCGGCTATGGCCGCTGCTACCCTATCGCTATGGCTAAGCTCCTTCTCTCGCCCACTTCGTCTTCGGGATCACTGCAGACCACCTCGCACAAGTCGCTGTGGCAGCGCTTCCGCATGGCTTCCGCAGGAATGAATGAATGGCTGGGCGCTGCCTCTTGATTTTTACTTCTGTACCTCGTTGGTCTGCCCCTTTTCCCATGCCCGTGGTGCACACAGTCCCATGCAGTACTTGCTTGACTGGACTAGGACTGACTGGGACTGGGACTGCTGACTCAGCACGGGTGGACTCTACCACTTGCCCACTTGCCTCAGCCTAAACGTGAGCAGCTTCGAAAGGCCACTACTAGGACCTTCCGGAAGGCCATGGGCTTGGCCTTTCGATACTGTAGCAGCTACGACCTTGACCTTTCAGGACTGTAGCAGCTACGACCTTGACCTTTCGGAGGAGCTACAGCTACGACTTCTAGACCTTGCTAAGACTCCTATCCAACAGGTCTACAGATCGAACCCCTACCAACCTAGGGACCTACGACAGCCTACCAACTGTGGGAAAGACACAGGTCGTGGGTTCAACTCCTGGGGTTGACACAGATACTGTACACAGGTAAACTAAGTCTAGGGATCGAGCCCTGGGATCTGCATCGGCTACTGCGAACAGGTGAATACAGTTTCATTTATGTGTGTCATCCTTGCACAGGCCCCATGCTAATCTTCTCTGTATCGTTCCAGTTTTTGTAGGTGTCCTGAAGGACAGCCACTTTGAGACTGTACTGCAACTATCGTCTTCCCCCGAACACAAGGCACCCTCATTTTGAGTGCATCGGACCGGAAACCTAGCCTCTATACCTTCATAATGACGGTGCGTTGTATTCGGGTGAAGACGGTAGCTGTTTGATTTTACCTTTCTTCCAGCTTTGAGCTTGACTCAGCCAGACTTAGTTGCGCTGTTCTTTTCCTGTTCGAGTTGTGTCGAGTTTCACTGGCTGCGCCTGAACTCTGTGGCATCCATCATGCTATAATTAAGAAGGGGAAGGGGGGGATTCCCGGAGATCGTCTGGGGGTTTAACTCTAGCCAGGGCGCCATCACTTTCACCCATCGGAGAGTTGGGGTTGTTGGGCACAGAGTGTGAGAAAAGAAGTGGTGGCCTATTTGGTATGCGGGGGCTGCAGGGGTAGTAAGTGGGGGCACATTGCCCTGCACTGGCAGGCACACACCCAAGATGCAAGAGAGAGAACAAAAAAATGGTCTACTGCGATACCATCAGCAAGCTGAGGTTGTCTAGAGGAACCCGGGGAGAGTGCAAGTGAGGAAGAAGAGGGGAGCATCCTGGGAAAAAACCCAAAAGAATAAAAAAAGGCAAGAAGAAGAAGAAGAAGAGGACGAAGAAGACGAAGAAGAAACAGTTGGAGGAAAAGAAAGGCTAGAAAATGAAAAGCTTGCCTCACCAATAGATAATTAAATCATTTATCTTTGGGGGGGGTGTTTTTTCTTAGTGTTTGCTGTACTCAATGGGCGGTGAGTTCCTTATAAATTTTAGTGTTTTAAAGAAAAGCGTTTAAACCATACTTGCAAGTGCACGTCGTGCGGGAGGTTCCTGACGTGCGGCGCACGTGCCCAACCGATCTCGTGCGGCGCACGACGTGTGCGGGAACGACCTGTCACCCCCATCCGAAAAAAAAAAAGAAGGTTGGGGGTCGAAATGGTGCGTTCGAGGCCCCCCGCCAAAATTATAAGCGGGATGGGAATTTTTTTGGCAGGAGTGCTGCCTCAGCTCGCTCCTCCTCCCCTTCCTCATCCTCCATGTCTCCTCCTCCCTTCTCCTTTTCGTCTCCTCCTCCGACTCCTGTTCGTCCTCCTCTTCCTGCCCTTCCTCATCCCCTCCTCCTCCTCCTCGTACTTCCTCATCTTCCATGCCTCTTCCCTTCCTCGTGTCCTCCCCTTCCTCGCCGTCCATGTCTCCTCCTCCTCGTCCTCGTTCTCGCTATCCTCGTCGTTCTCCTCGTCCACATCCTTCTCCTCCTCTCCATATCCCCTCTCCTCGCCATATCCCCTCTCCTCGCCATATCCCCATCTTCCTGTCATACGCCCCCCCCGTCCCCCCTCCCAAATAAAATAAAATAAAAATAAAAATAAAAATAAAAATAAAAAACCTGCACGATTCTGCACAGGCAACCCCCGCATTGAACTCCGCACGGAACTCTGCACGACTGTGCGGCTCGTGGGCTCGTGCGGTTGCAAGTATGGTTTAAAGTTTAAACTTTAAAGCGATGAAAATTGACGGGCTAAGTTGGCTAACCCCCAATTACCGAAAAGTTGGGGGGCTGTAACCTATAAGCATGTTTTTGACAGTTTTTCTATTTCTATCTGCATAATATGCTTTTTTTTTGTTTTTGTTTTTGTTTCGTCTACTGTGTGGAGAATCTGCAGATCTATCTTCAGATTCAAGTTACGAACTGAAGAGCGAGCTCTAAGGACCTGCGAAAGTGTGGCGTAGCTCGCTGGTGACCGAGTGACGAGGATATTTCTGATTTCTGACAGCTTCTGGTGAGGGTAGAAGCCAAAACTCGTCGTTCTGGAGTTGACAAGCTGTGTGATAGCTGTTGTAATGTGGTGTAGCTAATGGTTACTCATGCTGAGGATAATTTTTCTGATGAATGACAGCTCTGGAGAGGGGCAGAACGGAAATTCGTCAATTCTGAATTTGAGAAGCTGTGTGTGCAGAGCATGAATCTGGTCCAGTCTCTGCACCAGGTTCGCCTGTCTAGAGGAATGTGGTCCACTGGGCGCTGGTTACAGAACTTACAGGACAGTGGTGGCTCATCAACCGAAAGATTGGCGAAAGTTCCGCGAAAGTTTTGTCAAGCGTATGGTTTATTCAACTTTATTGTCCCTTGAAGCAGTATGCGTCGTATGGTCAGCTTATCTGTATCTCACCCAACTGTCAGTCCGGATACAGCGAAAATGACAGTATGTTCTATTGGGGTGAAGACGGTAGCGAAAGGAATGTTCAGTGTGTTTGGATCTGAGGATGAGCAACTGGGCCGAGTCATGAAGGTAAGTCTCTTATTATGGTGTTGGATCCTGAGTCTTTATGGTTTTGTCTTTTCTTCTTGAACGTGCAACGAAGTTGCGTTGACTGGTGCCCCTCTTATGATTTACAAATGGATTGCTTATTGTCCCTTGCAGCAGTTGCGCCTACCGACTTTCCCCCGAATATAGAACTTATGCGCTGTGTGGTCATCTTATCTGTATTTCACCCAACTGTCAGTCCGGATACAGCGAAAATGGCAGGACGGTATATTGGGGTGAAGACAGTAGCGAAAGGAATGTGCAATGTGTTTTGAACTGAGGATGAGCATCCCCTGGGCAGTGGTTGGACGGGACAGCAAAGGCCCAACGAGTGGAAAATTTGGCAGAACCGTTGCGAAGCGCATGGTGTAGAGTCGTCATTCCGGACTCTGCACCCAGCAGTCCACCATTGTTGTTTTCACATTGCTTTGTTAGATTTGCCCAATCGGTGGAGATTTGGTAAATCGCAGTCTGAGAAGATGGAATTGCAATGGTGCACTTTTTGCACAAACGATACAGAGAAGATAAAGATGTAATGACCTGCAAAATTGGAGACTGAGAAATTCGCTCTTTTGAATCTTTTCTGAGTTTTGCGGCTTTTGCCACTTGTTTGACTGACTTGCTGAAATTTCCGTATTCTGCAGAGATTTCTCTTTGTTTTTTTTTTTTTTACCTTTTTCTTCGTGTGGCCCGATGGACCACGGATCAGATATTAAACTGATCAGAAGTTCAGAACAGATACATTTCACTTTATCTATTTTTAGCCAAAAGGACGAGAGAGGTAGGAGATTTCTTTTCTTTTCCCCCTTGAAAATTCAGAAAAAAGCGGACTGTTTGGTCCGTTTCTCGATTTATTTGTGTGCGTCATCCATCGGGGCATCCGTTAAAATTGGAACAATTTTGCAGAGATTTCTGAGCATGTATGTGTCCATGATTGCTGAGTTAGCGTGTGATTGCCTGCCCGTATGATTGCATGAGTGTGTGCTGTGTGCTGGAAAGGCCCGTGGGCCCGGTACTTACCAGTGGCCGTGTCGATGTGCAGGTCGCAAGAGGGGTAGGCCCGCAGGCCCGCAGAGGCTGGAACACTCAAGTAGCGGGAGGTAGGACGAAAAAAAAGAAAGCAAAAAAAAAGAAAACGTTAGTACCATTAGAGGCCGATGTAGAATTTAGGAGTCCGGTAGGCTTAGAGTGCAGAGGTACCGGTCTAGTAGTCTGAATGTAGAGCCTGCGGAGGGGAATATCAGACACTGTAATGATGTTCCCTCCGATTCCGGGAGGTACCAGGTAGACTTGGAGGCGGTGGGGCCGAGAAGCAACCGCATGAGCAGGAACTTCGCTGATATATCAAGTGAGGAGGCGAAGGGCTCAGCCTGATTTGCGGCCGTGCGGGTTGGGTGCATGCTGCTGGAGTGACCACCCAGCTGCAGCAGCGCCGGGCGAGGAAGAAGGCGCACTTGGCCTTCCACCTCGGCTATGGTGCACTGAGGGAGGAAGAAGTAGAAAGAGGAGGAGGAGGAGGAAGAAAGAGGAGAACGAGAGTGAAGGAGGAGCTTACCTTGGTTTTTGGTGGTCTGCATACTCGTGTTCTTGGTTGGCACTGCATCTGGAAGGCACCAAGTGGGGTGGCACCTGAAGGAAGACCTCAGGGGTGGAAGTAGGCATGGTGGCCATAGTTAGAGAGACATCGGAGCCGAGCTCCGATGGTCCGCCATAGCCACTGGATATACCGAGAAGGGGAAGGAGGGGTAGGATGTCTATGGTGGACTTCTTGAGAGACTGGAAAGTAAGGAGAGGATTCAGACATTGGTTCTGGATTGTTCTTTCAATGTTCTTATTATTGTTATCATTAATGAGAGGTTTGGTGGAGTAATTGGAGGATGAAAATGTTGGCGAGTTGGAGGAGGATTGACATTGGTCCTTCCTGCTGGTCATTGTCTCTGTCTCCTTCCATTCTCATTTCTTCTTCTTTCTTATAGCTCTTTCCAGTGTCTTTCATTTCAGTTGAAATTGAACGGAATTGTCTTTCGTTTGTTTTCTGCACTGTAAGATAGCCAGGTTATCATGGGCCCTGCACGAGGCTGAAATGATGTTTATTTAACTTGATTTTTTTAATCTAAAGAAACAAGCTCAAGATTGGATGGAAACAAATTGCATACGAAAGGCTAGCAGATCAACTCGAGCGTTAAAAAAAAAAAAAAAAAAAAAAAAAAAGGACTGTCCTGCAGGCGAAGATGGATAGACCAGTCAGCGTACTTTTTCTGTTTCTCAGAGCATAGAGGGGGTGACGGAACTTGAGCAGGCAAAGGGCAGGCACAGATGGCACAGCAGCTCCGACCAGTTCTTTCCGGATTGAAAGGGAAGCCCGTCACATCAGAAAGACTGGCATGCCTCGACGGGGTGGCGCAAAATGGCAAAGGGCCAGCAGAGACGGATGGATCACTGCCAATCGTCTCTGATCAGTTGAGAGTTGATCACAATCTGCGGAGAGAAGCATGGAAACACAACGGGAGAGGGAATGATTGGAAAATGTGAAGAGGTGGCATGACTCGCGGACGCAAAGGGCAGGCAAAGATGGACGGATCAGATCGGTGCTGCATTTCTGCAGAAGAAGGCGGGAACACAATGTGGGACGGCGGAATTGCATGCGGAACTGCATGCGGAAAATCGGCATGACTTGAGGAGGACGGAAAGAGTGTGTGTGTGGGGAGGGGGCGGGGTGGGGTCGAAGATCGATGGACAAGCTCTGCCCCTTCTTCATAATCTCAAAGAAGAGATGAGGTCAGGATCCACGGCTGTAGAGAGATTTGGCGGCATCCCAACCAAGCTGAAGTGTGAGCCAGGACGGGAACACATTGCTCACTGATTGGCACAACTCAGGGAGACAAGAAAGGGCATGCAGGTGAAGATGCATTGACCAGATTTCCCCAAGAGAGAGAGAGAGAGAGAGAGAGAGAGAGAGAGAGAGAGAGAGAGAGAGAGGAACCATGAACCAGATCTACAGCGTCCCCTTCTGAATCCTTGAGTTTTGGTAATGCAGCTACGAGCTTTTGAGACACTTTCCCTTGAACAGTGCTGAAAGGACACGAGCAAGCAAGGCCTTGCAGTGGCACTTACCAAATTTAAACGACAAAGACCATGGCAGGCATACTTGATCACGTTATATGTGAATGTACATTCTCAGAGGTGGTCGTGCGGTGAGGCCCAGTCAAAGAACACAGAGAGAGGGGCAAAATGAAGACACTTGGTGAGTTGTGAGGTGATCCCAGTCAAAGAACACAGACAGAGGGGCAAAATGAACTGCACCCAGGATCGGACTGGAGGTTGAACTCTGCAATCTGTTGGTCGGACTAGAGGTTTAACTCTGCAATCTGTTGGTGGCGAACCTGGCGCGCAAGGAGGGACCAACTGGTCTAGCTCAGTTGGTACACCCCTGAACTGTTGAAATTACAGACTCAAGTTGGTCCCAGTGTTATAATTTAACTTTCCTAAGTTTCCTGCTTCCACTGTCGTAATTTTGCTTACCTGCTTCCAGTGGGGTTCGAACTCCACTGGAAGCAGGTAAGTAAAATTGCAACGATTCACAATGTCCTGAGGCCGGTCAGTTCAATGGCGATATTTCAAGGCCACCGAACTGTTTTTTAAAAAGAAAGAAAAAAACGGATTCGGGAAAAAAAACAAAAACTTTGCAAGCAAGGGGGACCTGCTGGAAACCAAGTCCAGCCAGCAAATCTACCTGCACCGCCGCACCTGAACGTCTTTTTTCTCTTTTTTCTTTTCTTGTGTGTGTGCGATGGCTCTGATCTTATTCGCGGGGAGCAGCGTGTGATGGGAACACCCGGTTAGTTCTGGGACTTGAGACTTGGGTGTCGCCCAAGTCCCAAGTCCCAGAACTAACCGAGTGTTGTGCTAAAGGTTGGGCACTGTCCTTCGTCTGAGAGTAGGAGGGAAGTGGTTGGGCCATAGTGATACTTTTCAACGAACGTTTGATGCGTGGGATGCCGGCACATCACAAATCAGCCTCCCAAACCTTTTTTTTTTTTTTTTTTTTTTTGTGTGTGTGTGTGTTTTTGTGTGTGTGTGTGTGTACGGTGTTCTCAGTCTGATCGTGTGTATTGTGTTCTTTGGGGTTTTTATGTTAAAGCTATGCAATAGGTTTGTTGATTTCTACTGGGTTAGGCCGACACCCGGGCCTGATGGACCGGGCCAGACAGACGGGGGGGGGGGTCCGTCCGGCAAAACCAGACGATCAATTTTTTATTTTTTTTTGAAGATGGGGTTAGACGGCGCTCGCTGAGAGGAGCCCAAATCCGCAGAGAAACTTGTGAAAGGCATGTGTGTTGGGGGAGGGGGGTGTGGGGACGGGGGGTTTGTCAAGGGGTAAAACCGTAAAAGGGTGTGTTTTAGCAGCCAGTTCGCTGAGAGGAGGGGTTAGAGGAGGAGGAGGAACTGCAGGTAGTGTCTGGGGATGACGGAGAAAGAAAATAATAATAAGAGGACGAGGAGGAGGAGGAGGAGGAGGAGAGAAGGAGAAGACAAAAGTAGGTGGAGGAGGAGAGAAGAAGAAGAAGAAGAAGAGAGGAGGAGGAGGAGGAGGAGAAGAGAAGAAAAGAAGAATTGCAGTCTGCCCGCTTCCCTTCTATTGTTCGAGCAGAAGAAAAAAAAAAGAGGAGAGTAGGAGGCGGAGGAGGCGGAGGAGGAGGAGGAGGAGGAGGAGGGGGAGGAGCTGCCAGTTCTGTATGGCAATGCCGAGAAAAAAAAAAGGCCGCTGGAGGAGGAGGAGGAGGAGAGGAGAGCAGAGAAGCGAAGAAGATCAAATGAGGAAGAGGAGGAGGAAGAGGAGGCGGAAAAGAAGAACGACGGGAGGAGGAGGAGGAGGAGGAGGAGGAGGAGGAGGAGGAGGAGTTGCCGATTGTCTGAATATGACTAGGGGGAAAAAAAAAAGGCCGATGGAGGAGGAGGAGGAGGAGGGGGGAAAACAAGAAGACGAAATGAGGAGATAAGAAGAAGAAGACGAGAGGTGGAGGAGGAGGAGGAGGAGGGGGGGAAACAAGAAGACGAAATGAGGAGATAAGAAGAAGAAGACGAGAGGTGGAGGAGGAGGAGAGAAGAAGAAGGTGGCGAAATGAGGAGGATGAAGAAGAGGGGTGAAGAAGAAGACGACAAGAGGAGGAGATGGAGGAGGAGAAGAGAAAAAGAAAAAGACGAGAGGAGGAGGAGGAGGAGGAGGAGGAGCTGCCGATTGTCTGGCGATGACGAGGGGAAAAAAAAATGCCGATGGAGGAGGAGGGAAAACAAGAAGAAATGTGGAAGAGGAGGAGGAGAGAAGAAGAAGAAGACGAGAGGAGGAGGAAGAGAGAAAAGAAGTAGACGAAATGAGGAGGAGAGAAGAAGAAGACAGGAAGAGGAGGAGGAGGAGGAGGAGAGAAAAGAAGAAGACGGAATGAGGACGGGGGGGGAGGAGGAGAGAAGAGAAGAAGATGAAATGAGGAGGAAGAGGAGATGAGAAGAAGAAGGCGAGAGGAGGAGGAGGAGAGAAGAAGAGGAAGATGAGAGGAGGAGGAGAGAAAAGAAGAAATGAGGAGCAAGAAGAAGAAAACGAGAGGAGGAGAAGGAGAAAAGAAGAAGAAGACGAGAGGAGGAGAGAAAAGAAGACGAAATGAGGAGGAAGAGGAGGAGAGGAGGAGAAGAAGACCAGAGGAGGAGGAGGAGGTGCCGGTTGTGTCTGGCGATGACGAGGGAAAAAAAAAAAAAAAAAGTTGGTGGAGGATGAGGAGGGAAAACAAGAAGACGAAATGAGGAGGAGGAGAGAAGAAGACAAAGATGAGAGGAGGAGGAGGAGAGAAAAGAAGACGAAATGAGGAGGAGAGAAAAGAAGATGAAATAAGGAGGAGGAGAGAAGAAGAAGAAGAGGAGAGGAGGAGGAGGAGGAAGAGGAGGAGGAGGAGGAGTGAAGAAGAAGAAGAAGAGGAGACGAGGTCGGCTGCACGTCGTCGCATTTTTTCTAGTCAGGCCTCTTCAGGCGACCAGAAAGCCAACAGGCTGTCACGCAAGATTTTGTATGCGTCTGCAATAGATAAAGAAATAAAGCAAACCCCTTCCTGTTGTGTGCGTACGGCTTCGAGCGAGACCCTTCGAATGCGGTCTTCGTCGGTCCCCGGTCTTAGGAATTTTTTATTTTGATTCGGAACAGCAAAGAATCATGCAGGTAATAATCATAAAATTATAGAGTGCTATGCATGCATCAATTGTGTCAATCTGATTTTGAGAACTGTGACAAATTCATTAAAGAATGCAAACATCGAGCATGGCAATGCAAGAAGCAAGACTGATTGATTCAAGGCAAAGACAAGATCGATGATCATGTGAGAGAACAGGAGAGCTATTTATCGCATTAAGGCGACAAATAAACGGATAAGTCATAGAACCATTGTCATTGTAGTTAGCTCTCTCTCTTCCCTCTGAAGATGATATCGCACTCAGATATCAGACAATGGTTAATATGATGTCAAGTGGTCCTTAAGCGGTTCCGCTTGATGCGGTCCTGTACTCAAGAGGAGATCTGTTGCGGCTTGCATCTTATGACTGTGCTCAAGTCCTGAGTCTTCTTCTCAACATATCTGTCAATGCTCAAGAAAGTCTTGCATTGAGTCTGCAATACTCACATAGTTGCTATTTTTTTAAAAATTGCTCACTTATTATCCGATCAGTCTTATTGAGTTCTGATGTCACCAAGAACACTTGTTGTGATATAAGCTGTTACTGCTGTCACCAGGAGAGCCCGCTGTGACCAGCACTTTGCTGCTGTCACCGGGATTGCCTGTTGTGATTAGCACCCTGGCTGCTACCAGAACTCAATCTGAACTTACCGGAACTGAAAATCGAGCTCATTGGGTTCGGGGTCACTGAGACCGAATTGAGCCTAGTGATTGGTTCACTGAGATTGAACTCACTGAAAGTCAGACTGAATCGAATTTACTGAAACTGAACTGAGAGTTGAACCGAGACCTGAACTGAAGCTTTCCCTGAAAGCCACTCTTAAATCCGAAATCAATGCTGAACTGAACCCGTTGATCTGAACCCACCGAGGCTGAATTGAGCTTACTGAGATTGATTTGAACTCTTTGTATCTGTAGTGAACTTACTGGAACTGATCTGAAGACTG